GGCCCTGCTGGGGATCCCCCACAGGCCAGGAGGTAGGGGGACATCAGCTCCCCCATGGGTTCAGTCTGGGTGGAGGCCTCAGACCAGCCCCGGTTAGCCTTGTCCCCATGGGCAGAGGCCCTAGCAGCACTCCTCGTAGACACCATTCTAAGCTGCTGTTTGTAGACCTGTGTGGTGTCTACTCCCTACCCTTACAGGAGTCTCACTCCTGGCCCTCCCGGCCCGCCCGCCGGCGTGAACGCCTGTGCAAACGCCGGCGCGCTCTCACAGAGCGCGCCTGTTTGCACGCTCTGTTCATGCTGCACGGCTCAGGAGCATGGCTCCCTACTGGCTCAGCTATATGGGACCCGGGGGGCTCCCCCTCCGGATCTGGCTCAGCTGCGCCGGGTCCCTCCGCCCCACTTACCTTCGGGGGATCAGCTGTTGCCTGACTCCTCTCCTTCCTGCTGCTGGTTAAACTTGGCAGTAGTAGTTAATACTACTACTGCCAGGTTTCTGGCCCTGAAGACCTAGATGAGTTGACATGCCTGCCTTACGTAAATTGAAATTTTTTTTATGATAGAGACAGGATGAAAGATGCCATGATATGCTTCTTATCACAAAAAGTTATTTAATTTTGATAATTTCAGTTGTTTCTGGAATAGAAATAAATTTTAAAAGTTTGGTTTAATTTATTTCTAGATCATCCATAGCTTTTACACATGGAACTCAAAAGATACACACTACCCATGGAAGTTTTCTTCAGTGACAGTTCTGGTTGTAGATGAAGGGAGCTTGGTGTCCGTACGACTTCTTAGTTCAGTTTTAAAACTGCTGTGTGCACATGCTCAACTTGCCAAGCTTATTATTCTAGGTAAGTGAAAAGTAAGAGTGTATATTTAGTTTAACCTCTACCAGAGAAATACAGCATGAGTTTTGCAGAATGTGAAAGACCTTGCTCTCTGTTGGAGCAGGGCTGTCCAGCGCAAGTTGTGGATACTGGTCGGCCTGTCAGGGGGAGTTTTATATAGGCTCCCCAGGACCCCTACTGCATGTTCCACTGTTGCTACCACCATGCAGATAATCCTAACCCTACTGTTGCTATGTAAGCCCACCTCTGCTTCTGCCACATATGGCTGATTTTCCTTCCTGTCTCCCACCCCTGGTAATGCTGCTGTGCAAGCAGTGTGCAGCCCTCTGTCCAAGCCCCCTCTTCCTCCCCAGTGCAAATTCACTGAGCCTCTACCTACCCCATGGAGGTTGGGCAGGAGTCTGCAGGCTATACATTGATGCCTCTCAGGATGTGTGCAGTCTATAAGCTGTCAGGCTGTGTTTAAAGCATGTTTGTGATCCTACGATAGAGAGAGGAAATGCAGCAGAAACTTGCCTGGTTTTACTTAGTGTTTACATGGAATTTTTTGAACCCCCAGAGAGACAAGCCAACCTTTCCATGGAGATCTGTTCCTGCCATAAAATCATAAATGAAATAAAAAATAATTACATTATTCAGCGTACATCCTTCTCAGTGCTCCTGTATGCATGGGTGGATCCAGGATGGGGACCACACCCCCCCCTTGACAGCATGGCACATGTTCAGTGAGCTCTCTAAGCTCCCCAGCATGTCAGTGCAACTGCTGACAGAGGTCCACCAGTGCCATGAGCTCTTTGAGCTCTGCACCTGTTTGGAGCAGACTCTGGCTAAAGCCCCTGCTTTCGTACAACTGCAGAGCTCAAGGAGAGAATGCTACCATTTGTCCTCCTGCTTTTTCCTCCTTTTCCCCCTTTGAATTCAGAATAGAGGAGATCAGGCGGCAGTAGCACTCTCACTTTCTGGACTCCTGGACTGTGGCCAGAGTCCATGCAGTCAGCTGATAAACTCAAGATCTCACAGCATCTGCAAAACTCCAGCAGTAGCTGCACTGGCATTCTGGTGAGCTTAGAAACCTCATTGTTTATGTGCCACATGGCCAACAGAGGGGTGCGGCCACACTGCTTCAGCCCATCTGGATCCACCCCTGACTATGGTGGTTGGCATTTTGTTTGGTTCTAAAAGTATCAAGTAATGAGAATTTGATAACTTCTCCTTACATCTTTCAGCAGTCTGTTACATTTTATTAGGAAGTTTTGCTTCATTCTATAATGTGACTTCAAAGAGGATGTTGGTAGCATGGTGAACAAAACAGAAGAGAAGTGAAAAGCTTAAGGTGCGCCAGGAAAGTAATGGCCAAAATGATTTGTTTTTAATCCAACAAACAGAACAGAGGAGCACAAAGAGAATTTTTCTTGTACTTTTGTGCTCGCTTTCGGAGGTTGCATACTTGCTTATCAATCATGGCATTCGTTTTTAAAAGTATGACTTTTAAATATGCCTGCGGACAAGTCTGATATCCCCGTACTCTAAGAATGTGTTAGTAATGACATTAAATAACAACTAATGATTCTCAACTAGGGTGCCATGGTTACCACACAAACATGCTTCACAAAATGAAACCCAGAGATTTCAAATAGGAATTCACAGTATTTAAAACATTCTGACCTGTTGTGGTCTTTCCAAATTCTTTGCAACAGAAGAATTGCTTTATTATTTCAGTAAAAAAAAAAATGAGTGAAATCTAAGAACTGGTATTTTCTGAGAGGTGCCTTGGGACTCATGACAGTGCCTTTAAGTCTAAAAGGCTAATGACCACTGAACTAATAATAATAATGGATTTTAGGACTGGAAAGTAAGACCAAACATACTGAAAACAGCAACACCTTAGAAGAACTAAGACCATGCTACCATCTGATTTTTAAAAAACTCCATCTTCAGTGTCTCAGAAAAAAGCAGTTCCACAAAACGTGTACGGAGTGTGTATATGGTAATTGTGTCGTGGCAAAGGGGGTGGAGTGTTTATTTCTTGCATTGCCATGATTTAGGGATGCTTTTATAGCTACTCTTTCTGGTGTTTAGTACTCATCATGATTCTAAAACCTTTCATTTAGGTGATGTTAGGCAGTTACCAAGCATTGATCCAGGTAACATGCTGGCTGACATGTTTGAGGCTCTGAAGCTAAGACGTGGGTCCGTGGAACTGAGAACTAATCATAGAGCTGAATCTCAGCTAATTGTGGACAATGCCACAAGGTAGGCTTTTATTTTTTGTATACATTACTAACATTTTTATACTAGTTTGGTCCATTAGCTTGCAGATGACAGTGGTATTGAGCTATAACTAGAGTAAGTGGCTCACTATTTCTGTTTACAGAATCTTGTATTCAAAATATAATTCTTTGATAAAAATATCACCCTGAAATTTTCACATGAAATTTGCAGTTTAAACAAAAACACTGAGAACAGTTGTTGGAGTACTCTTGAATAATACAGGTTGTATGTTATATAAAACTGTAAACTGGCAAATATCCATTGTTTATACGACCACAAGAAAAAGTTTTGTTTATATTTAAGATTTGGGACCAGATACTACTGAAAATCTAGATTCCTATACAACCCATAGGGAGGCTTAGGCAAATCTGAAGAGCAATTCCATTTGAATGAGTTTAAATGCCCAGGGTTTTCTGTGCGGAAAGGGAGGCGATTCTGAAAGCCTGACGGTGAGTAGAGGCAGCCATTAAGAAGTGCTGAGCACAGGCATGCAGCTGAACCCCTCTAAAAAGCTCAAGCACCTACATCTGTCTGCACGTTAGGTGCCTCCATTTACTTCATTTCACAAATTAGAATGCTTGTTTTGTCACATTTATTATATAATGTTGTTTAATTTTCGTAACTTCAGTTGTTTCTGGAATATGAATTTAATTTTAAAAGCTTTGTTTAATTTATTTATAAGCTTTTGAGGAGAGAGATGTTCTAGTGTAGTGGTTGGATACCTAGCCAGGAGATGGGAGATGCATGTCTGTGTCCCTTTCAGGTAAGACAGGCCTGAAAACAACATTTACCACTTCCCAGCAGAATGCCCTGATCATCAGAAACTAAGCTTTGGGGTGTACTTGCCACCCCTCCTTTGAACCTGCACAGCCAAGAATGTGAAAGTCATGGGGTCAGAATGAAGCAACAGAGAGCCTGATTCCAGAGGCTGCTGGGTTAGGGCTTTTCTTCGGGATAGGGGTTGACCTGGGTTCTGGTCCCTGATCCAAGGATATTTCTGTTTAACCAGTGGTAGCCTAATCTAAAATTATGGATAGAGGGGCTGCTCAGTTTAAATCTCCCGGTTCTCCCAGGAGAGCGCTCTCATAGCTTGGCTACAATCAGCTTCCTCCTTGTTCTGCTTGCATTCTTGTCTTCCTGGAGTGCACCTTGAATGGGAGGAATGGAGGTGCTTTACGGCTTCATGATTAAGGCATTTTTCTGGAACATTCAAGCTCTCCAACTGAAGAGGCCCTAGAGTCCAGATGTCCTGCTTTCTGGGTACAGCCCTAAACTCTAGGCTACAGAGGAAATGTACCATTGTTCATTTTTGAGCTGAATTCAACGTAGCAGGATAAAAGAAATAAATTGCTAGTGCTCATCTGTGGCCTTCACTTGTATATAGCGAGTGTCATTCAGTTTTACAGAAAATGGGAAGGTACTCAGTTCTCCAAGTCTGGGGTGGCTAACTCATGACACAAGTGAAATGGACAGCAGCATTTAACTTGCAGCACACCTGCCAGAAAGGCTTGCCACCACTGGTTTAATAAGCTTAAATGTGGTCTTGTCTGTACTATAGAATTTCTGCTGCTTATGGCTGTGGTGGTACAGCCATGTTGATAGAGCCCTCTAGTGTAGACTCATTGTAGGCTGACACTTTTGCAATATGACTATATACCACATTCCTTAAAGGCATGCATTACCTGAATAAAAGCCCTCATTTGTCAGCAATGCGTTGGCTAATGGTCTCCTATCTCTGGTCAGCACAGCTCTCCTGGCACAACTTTGTAGTGTAGACCTGGCCTATGAATCAAAAGGTGCAGGTGCACAGCTGGAGTGTTTTAACAGGAAACTGTTTTTTCTTTTTGTGGTTTAGAATCTCACAGCGGAAATTCCCAGTATTTGATGCAACAATCACAATCACCGGTTGGAATGAGAATGTGACCATGCCAAGCCCTGCGAAGAAATTTATTTTTGTTGTTTTGCCTTCCGAAGGAGATTCTGATTGTATGTTTGTATACCAAATTTATGATCCGTCTTGTAATACTGCAAGAATTCTCCTCTTCCAGTTTTGCTAAAAGTAACAATTTGAAGATGAAACCAGTTTAATATACCGTAGAGCAGAAACAATTTCAGTACATTTGAATTGTTCCATTAAAAAAAATAGAAAATACTTAAATTATTAGCTCTTTTTGAATAAAATGAGTTTACCCAATAAGAATGAACTGTTTGCAGTGATTAAAAAAACGAAACAAAACCTGTTAATATTATAACCTACTCTGAAAAGTAGCATGGCATCAGATACTTGAATCATGAGAATGATACAAGAGCATGAGCACTTGAGTTGCAAGTAGTCCTAAAACAGCTTTCTTGGACTGTGGGCAGTTCCTCCACATTAGAACTGGCTTTCTTTCTGTTGGTTAGATCAGCGGTTTCAAACAAATGGCCTGTGGGATGGGTCTGACTCATGGAAGTGGGTCATTCAGCCTGAAGGACTTTTCATGAGCCAGACAGCCCACCCCCAGATCCAGCCTGCAGCTCCTTGCCATGGCTGCCAGAGGTGCTGAGTTGATGCAGCCAGCAGTTAACACCATTCTTACTCGCTCCTGAATTTTTTGGTTTTTGATTGTTGCTGGGGATGCAAAGTGGTGGTAATGTTAACCCCTGTGTGTTGACCACATTGTGGCAGCTGCAGTGAGAAGCCCTCTGGACCAGATTTGACCTGCCAACTCCTTTGGCACTCCCAGGTTAGATACAGGGCACTAATAAAGGGAATATTTTTAGGATAAAGGATATTTGTTTGTTTATTCATCTATTTATTGATAGAGAGTCCATTGTCTAGTTTGGCATTAAAATATTGCTTAGGTAGGAAATAGAAGGCTACTAGGCATATTTTCTATTTTAGATACCACAAAAAACAAAATATGGGGAAGTGATCCTTGTAGTAGTTGTATATTTCTCATCAAGTAATTTATTCAGCAGTCAGTGTTTAACTTTTATGTACTGTATTTACTTAATTCGGAGATCAGGTTTTTTTTCCTATGTAATATGAGGGGGAGGGGGGAATCCCTTGTCTTAAATTGAGTATAAAGGTGGTGTGGGGGCAGGTGGCTGCTGTGGCTTGGACTTCAGCCCCCACACAGGGTCAGGGCTGGAGCCGCAGCTGCTGCTTGCCCCCAGCATCCTGCCATCTCCCCCTGCAGCTTCTTCTCCCCATCTCCTTCCCCCCCATCCTGAATGCAGCCTCTGGTTCCCCCTTACCCTTTCTCCATGCTGGTAGGCCCCATCCATGCTGTAGTCTGGGGCACTAGGCATGGCCCCAGCCCAGCTCCATAGCAGTGGTGCAACTTTCACAGCTGCTATACGGGGCTGGGCTTGGGCTGTGTTTCACGCTAGAACAGGGATGGAGCCTGCCAGCATGGAGCAAGAGTAAGCAGTGTGGAGGGAGGAAGCAGGGAGCAGAGGCATGAGAAGATGGCAGGAGGGGGAACAGAAGTGGAGAGAGAAGTGGGAGCAGGCTGGTGGCAGGGAGAAGGCACAAGCAGAGGTCTAGCTGCTTGACCTCCCCACACCACCTTCTCCCACATTGCCTGCCCACCCCCTGCAGCACTGGGGGGAGGGATGACTAAAAGATGACCCTCCAATAATTAGATTCTATACATGGAGAATTATAACACATATATACATTTTCCATGTATAAAACCTAATTATTGTGGTGTTTGTCTTACATTCATTGTTTTCTTAGCTTCCAGTCAATATGGTAGATTGTGATACAAAGTTTTAACTTCCTAGTTCTAGAGCTTTCTTTAGAAAAAACCCAACAAACTAGTATTTCTACAAACTGTCCTGTCAAAGAATATCTTCAAAGCATGTTTTTTTTAATTGCGTGAAACATACTGAATTATAGCTGTTTACCAGATATGAGTATGAGTTTCTTCTCTGTTTCTCAATACCCCATTTCCCCAGAGTTGAGCTATTAGAAAGCTGCCCAGTGCTCGTAACGTTTTTCTGGTAACCAAGAGTTGGCACTCTTGGGCTTATTAAAGCAAATATAAGCAAATACTGATTTCATGCTGAATTGTAATTTCTACCTCTCAGATTTCAGTCCTGCATTTTTATACTTTATCTTCTCTTTCTTATAATCAGGCTTGCAATATGCCATAAAGACTTTACTTGAAAAAGGACCAGGATTGCAAGATCCCAAACAATCACAGTTCATTGCTTTCAGAAGGTAAGAGAGCATGTATACAGATACTGAAAAAATCCTGCTAGTGAGCATGTTCTAAAAATGTCTAAATACAGTGAGTTAGAGATGAGTGTTATAGGCAAAAGCACTAGGGAAATATAGGCCACTTGTCTTTTATTTCCCTCTACCCTGTCTTCTGATATTGAATGATTCTTTTATGCAGACTTCCAATAACTTGGGTTTTCCATAAGCTTAATGTTACCTCTCATCTGTGGAGCACTTTGCACGGTACATTCTTGCTTGAAGCCATCTACATAGCTGATGGATATACTGTTCACACTTGTAGTGGGGACCAGTATCTTTCCTGTCCATGGTGATTCAGTACGACAAAATTTCACATGCCCGTGATGGTCCCCTAGCGAAGTCAAGCAGATGGTCTTTCCTGAATATTCCCCAGACTGGGGTCACCCAGTTTGGGGAAGACATGGGACGAAGAGGAGGAGACGAGGTGGTTACAGAATGGAATACCTGCATGCACACTCTCTTAAAGATTTGTAGTGCTGAGATTTCCCAGAAATTCTGAGAAGTTTGCAGTGCTAGAACTGAATGCCTGTCCACATCCAAGTACTACTGTATGAGCACTAGTGGGGTGGGGGGCTGCGCTCAGGCCAAGCCAGGTCAGGCAGAGCCTGGCAGCTCTTCCAGGGGCGTGGGTGGGCAGCTCCTGCTGCTGCTTACACAATGGGAGAGTCAAGGGAGGGGGAACACATTTTTCCCCCCCTCCCTCCCCTGGCTTCCCCGTGCCATGCCACTGGATGAGCTGCTGGGCTCTGATTGCCCCATGACCTGGCCCAGGCAGGGCCCCATTCACAGGGCCAGGCTGGGTTGTGGGACAATCCCCACAATGTAACAGGGAGCAGGCAGGGCAGGGGCAGGAATGAATGATTCGCTCCTGCCCCTACCCCACTGTCCCCTGCACTGTGGAGGTCTCTACCTACACTCTTCCCCAGCTTACCTGCCTGCTGGGCCAGCTGTGATCCTGGCTGTGCAGGGTATGAGTGCATGCCCCTCCGCCCTGCTGCAGCAGCCTGTGGCCAGGCTGCCCTCCATCCATACCTGCTGCCCCCTGCATTTGCATTTGAGGGGGCTGAGCCTGGTTAGTGCCCCCCCTTTCCACCACCTATGTGTACGAGTATAATTTTTCTTGGATTCCTCTTCCTTCTTGGAAGCAAACCCAAATAACCTATGTAAATTCTGCAGACTTGTTTGCCTTGTAGTTTTATTTTTGGAATTAAATATATTTTTTGCACCAACATCTTATGAATTGGCTTGTAATTAATGAACTTTTCTTTAGCTATCAGTTATAAGAGTAGCATTGTTAATACTAAAGTGGGCATTGGCTCACTGTCTGTCCTGTCATGCATAGAGAAGTCAAGAACTCTTCCTTAATCCCGATGTATTTTTCTAGCATTTTGAAAAGACTGTTTATATGCAACTGCCTGCGATTTTTCTTACACCCTCCATCTATTGTTCTGTAAGGAAATAAGGCTCTATTTCTTGTTTCATATGTTTAGGCGAGATTGTGATCTAATAAATGAACTCTGTTGTCGACATTATTCAGATCATGTAACCAGGTAAGACAGAGTTTTGAGAATCAAGGCATGTTGTGTGAGTACATTTCTTTTTCTTTTTTATCCATCTCCGTTTCTCTGTTAAAACTGAGAAGCCAAAATTCTAAATTCACTAAAAACAAAAAATCTGCTTTAGATGCATTACCTTGTTTGTTTGATGCTAGAGTACAAATAAGTAACAAACTAAACTAACTCACTTTTGATTCTCTTTACAGATTTTTAAACATATAAATTGGGCACGTGCTATTTGTTTTTTCTTACTGTACTGGAATTTAGTTTTTAATGACTGTCACACTTAGTCATAGCATGTTTTGTAAAAGCCCTTTAAGGGTATCTAGGTACATTTTAGAAATAAAGATTTCCCTTTGCTATTTCCTAATTTAAAATATACAAATGGCTTTAGCGTTTATAAACATTTTATATGGTATGGGGTGCCAGCCTCATTCTGTACTGATGGCTTAATAGTGTGCTTTATGCTGTTACTTGTTAATTTCAATTTCTGTTTCTGATACAGAAACCATAAAAAGAAACTGGTTTTTCAATGTAATGACAAAATTTGTTGCACAAGGAATACCTATCTTACAAACCTTCGTCCAAGAAATACCAAAACCTGCACAAGAAATAGTGATTCAGATAATCCTAAACAATGTGACTGCATGGCATGCTCGATAATGAAAGTCTCTCGCAATGAGCAAAGACCACGCTTTAATCTCGGAGATGGTGATGAGGATGGCAAACGACTATGCAATGGAGATATTTTTTTCATAACAGATGTATGTATGCTTTTATCACAAGAAGCTGGGTGGTGTTCTCACTAACGGTGCAGACAGAAGTGACAATTTCTGCCTGATCTGGCCACAAAAAGCAGTTTTATAGCTGTGACCAAACACAAGTGCACGACAGCAAACGGCTTAAAAAATTGCCAGTGAGATGGCCGGTGAAAATCTGACCCCTCATTGCATGAGATATCAGATAAAGATGTTACGAAATGTTCCATCTTTGTAACATGCATTTGTGGAGCTCCCAGCCTGTCACTGTTTTCAGAATGGGAGGGGGAAAAGAGAGCAGAGGGAGTTCAGTCTGGGGACTTTTAACCCCCAGAGGGTACAGTGGTTGTATTACAGCCCCCCGGGGGGGGGAGGGGGGAGGGGGCGGCTCTAATTCAGCCACGCCACCCTTCAGCACCAGCTGGGGAGCCCCGAGAATGAGCTCCTTCTGGTGGCTTCCCCCTACTCCCATTATGAAAACAGTGCTTGACAGAGAGCCCTGGCCATGGGAACCTGGCTGCAGGCTCCCAGCCCCAGCTAGATTCCCCTCTCCCCTGGAACCATCAGTGAACTTCTGTTTGATCTGGGCAGTGTTGTAACTCAAGCTTTGCAAAAATCGTTCTGAGTTATAGCTTGGACCTGCACTGCTGTCTGCACCTTAAATCAGGAACAAAAATTAAAATTTAGTTTTCTCTCATAGTAGATATTTGACCTCACCAAACTCAGGTAATGGGTAACCCTTTTGCCTCTCAAGAGAGACCTGGAATTGCAGAGACAGGGTTTTTTGGCAAAATGTAAAGGGCAGCTTTGATAATACCCGCTTGTTGTCTTGTTTAGTGCTGCATATGCCTTTGTCTTGAACCTCAAACGTTCACAGTGAAACAAATTTAATTTCAAGAAATATGGTATTTATTTCTAGGACATAAACATTTGAAGGTTACATACCTGAGGGACAAGACAGTTTTCTAAAGATTGATGGAGGTGTTGAGAGAGGAGTTTTTAATGGGCAGTGGGACTTACTAAATTTAAGTAGTTTTTCTGGGAATCAAGTAGTTAAAAGATGGGATCCTTTTAGAACTGGTAACATCATGTGCAGTTATAACTTTCCACTGTTCAGATTTTTCTGCTTGACATAGAAAATATATTGACATATCTCAGTTAAGTCCTACCCCCAAAAAATCCTTTGTTAGTTTTATTATATTCTCTTGTTCTTGACTGAATTGGATTGGTCAGCATGATGATAGAGCTATAAACATAAATATTAATCATCATTCTAGTTGTGTTTGTGGGTGTATGGGTGTGGTGTGAGTGTGCACATCGGATTCCTTGTATAACCTGGTTGTTAAGTCTCTTCACATGATGTTTCTGTAGGATTTGGAAATTAATGGATGCCGTCTATTGACTATCAGCAGCACATATGGCTCTGAATTTACTTTATTGTATAAAGCACTGAGAAGAGCATGTCATATAAAACATGCATGGGCCAGAACTATTCACACATTTCAGGTAATAACAGTTTCTACTTTAGCAGAGTTCTGTCAACCAGTAAAATGATCTTTGCACTGCTCTGTAACTTCATGGGAAGGCTCAGAGTTTGGGAGTGCCATTCAAACAAAAGACTCCTTGAAGATAAAATCAGGAACAAATTTGGGGGTTAGGGAAAAGCAGTGGCTCTAAGTGGCTTCCCTACAGCCCGATGTGGGGATTGTGAAGGGGATGTGTTCTTTTCCATGCTTGACTGGAATTGTAGAATAGTGACACGGTAGTTGTTGGTAGGAGGGAAGAAGGGTGGAGCAAAGCACCCTGGGATGGTGGAGGACTATGCTGTGGCTTCTGTCAGAAGGGTAGGTTTTACAGCTATTTGTTCTTCCAGGAGAAACTGTCCTGGAAGTGATTTAACCCTATTTGTACCAACATTTTATTTTTCTCCTTGAGCAGCCATTTTTGCTCTGGGAGAAAAATCCTGAACATGCATACACTTGTGGTTTCTCCAGGGAGAGAATGTCTTTATGTAGTCTATGTTGAAGCACTGGTGTAGTTTGTTTCTATAGACTGGGCTTGTGATTGTTGCCTATGGGTTGCTGTTTGGAACATCAAAAACAAATCAAAGGGGTTACTGTCCTTGTAGTCAATTTTAGCATCTTATTTAGGCAAAAACCACTCTTCATAGAATCTTGCCTTCTTTGTTCACAATGGTATCTAGCTCTGTAAGTAATACTTAAAACTGACACAGTAATCACACCCACATATGGAGATAATTTTATCACATATTTTTTGAAGTTGAAACTTATATGCTGCACTTACCTTTTTTTTTTTTTTGCAAACTCTTATTTTTCATTAACACCTTGAAATTCTCTTAACTTGTTAAAGAGCTCTTAAAATTATGTGCATTGCAGGGTTCTGAGGAGAAAACAATTGTCTATGTAGTTGGGAACGCAGGCCGACAGCATTGGCAGCACGTATACACCGCTGTAACTCGAGGACGCTGCCGCGTCTATATTGTAGCTAAAGAGACTCAACTCAGGAAAGCAATTACTAGCAGGAATTTCCCCAGAAAAACTCGCTTAAAACAGCGTTTAAAAGAGGCATTTGCAGAAGTGAGCAGCTGTCCAGAGCAAACAGACTTTCTTCTACAGAGTCAGTGTCAGAGTCAAGAATATGTCACTCTACCTGGTCTGGCATCAGTAACTCAGGATGTTCTTGGCGTTTCTGTACCAGCTGAAGTTGACATCACCAAACAGGAGAAGTGTACAGTTCTTGATGAAATGGAGACTAGTAATGGACGGAGGATATCTGCTGCACTGGGCAGCGTAGGAAGAGAGACTGAGACGCCTGTGAAATTAAATGCATGTAAAAGGGAAAGGAGTCCTACATCGAATTCCGAGAGCCCTTTGAAAATAACTTTGGTAAGAAAATTTTGGAGGGAGGGCAGGATTTTTTAATTACTCTGTTACAGCAGTGCAAATGCTACTGATATCCATTACTTAATTTGTTAGCTTTTCTAATAATAGTCTGCTAGAATATTTCACTACTCAGAAAAGTGTTGAGGGATGATATTTATAATTTAGGAGTACTGGAGGGGAAAAAACCTGGTAATTGTCGTAATAGTAATTTTTAAATGCTACGTAGAAGCTTTTTTGGCTTGCTTAAACTGAATTATCTGATGAGATTGAAGCAGCTCATTAAAACTGTGAGAATTGTTATACATTTTGATAATAAATAATTAAAAATTGACCTTTTATGAAAAAATTAATCTGTAGTTTGCACTTTAAATATTTTTTTCTTTCAAGTCACTTCAAAACAAAATCTTGGACAGTGGTCCCTTCTCTTGTACGCGTTTTATTACAGTTTAATCATAACTCTTCTTGTTTTTGTTTGTTAGATAACTACTGAAGACTCTCCACTTGGGACTGCCAAACTGAAGAATCTGAATTTGGGAAACCTCACTCCAAAAGCACTTTTTTAAAAATTAACAAGCAAAGATACTCATTACTATGCTACTTAACTATTTTGTACAATGAAAAATATGGTTTTGGAACAGAAAAATTTAAGTATTCATCTCAAAGCTTTTTTAATATTTTTTGCAAGTTGTTGAAAAACAGCTTATTTTAAAATGGACATGTTTTAGTCAACTATTTTAGCAGAAGTTAGAGATGTTAGTTTTCAAGAAAATGTTGATCGTGTTGCCTTTTTATTTGGGAACAACAGAAAAGTTGCATGGACATTTTCAGATACAAAAGTTCCCTTCTTTACAAGATGGTACATTGTTGGTCCAGCCAGAGCCTTAAATGTTATGTAAAATATTGGTGCAACCCAGAGGTATCTTCTAGTTTATCTCTCATAGTATTAGGGCTTGAGTAGAGGCGTCATTGCATATTCATGCTGGCATGCTGCCCTTTTAAAAACCAAAGATTTATACACCATGTGGATTTTAATTTTCTATGTAAATTGATGGAAGTTTCAGTATGACAGTAATTAAGACACTACCACCATACATAAAATATTCTGCTGAAACATGAATTCGAATCAGACTGTAATAGACTGTACTGTGAATAGACTATAACCAAGTTGGAATGAGTGATTTTCAGGGGGAAGGGAAGGACTTTCTCTTTGCACAGCATAGGGCCCAGAAAGTAATATGTTAGATTCCAGTTTTCTGCTCCTTATGTAAGTAGTAATGAGCTTCAAATGACTTGTTTAACTTTGGTAATACATAGTAGGGCCAAATCCTGTAAGATACTGTGCACACAACACTCATTAGCAGTGTTGTATGTTAAGTCTCTAAAAAACAATGAGGCTGGCAGTGATTTTTTTTTAAAATAGTTTGGATAATTATGTGGCTTGCTGCGCTGGAGTTTACAGGATTGGGTAAATGTTCCAACTATTTCAACTGATATGTACTTAAACTGGCATGGCTTTCATTTGCATATTCCATAGATTATAAGAAATGTCAGTGCTTCTCTAAAAAGAAGATTTGTATCTTTCTTGTAAAAATGCACATTTGTGGTAAAAGATTTACCAAAGAAAATCCTATTTAAAAATAACCGAAAAATGAGGATAGTGAAGTGTAGCATATCTATAATGGTTTGCTAAGCCTACCGTTTTATCTGCTTTATAGCACAAGTTTTGTACATGTGAATACCATCTCCATGTTAATAACACTGTCTTTAAATCACTGTTTATTCCATTTTATACAGCCTTTCCATACAAATATTTGCAACAGTTTGAGTTTCCAAAAACATACATAGACGATAAATATCATGCTATTAAAGTATTAAATTTGTACAAAAATACTTTACAGTTTAATACTCATTACAAATAAAAATACATATTTAAGTGATTCATGATCCTGTTTTTACATGATTTCAATTTAAACTTTTTTAGTGACTGATATTTCTCTGGCAGTGCTGAAATATAAATTGGACATGACGCTTGTGTATAGGGCAGGTGAGCTTGATCGTTTTACAGATTAAGGAAAACAGCAGTAGGGATACTCTTCCTAAACAATTTAAATTGACCAGAACGAATCTTGTTGTGAGATGATTGCTTAGATATGAGGACTCTACAGTTAGTTAATGTACAAATCTGATATATTTTATATTCACTAAACAATAATTACCATAACAACTGGAATACTGGAACAAATCAAAACAGTTGCTGGTGAGAATAAAAAGCAACTGGCAGTATTTTATTGCTCTGAGGGGATGGGACAGGATTTATGATATATTTGTAAAATGTATTTACAATTTAAATTTTCTAAAAACTTTAAGGATAATTACAAGAAGGCTGAAAACAGGGCCTATTTAAGTGAATTTTAACTACTGAGTACCCCTCAAGAAATTCTTATTGGTAAGAAAAAGTTAATATGCAACAATACAAGATAGATTTGTAATGATCATTCTCATTGATACAATTAATTGATATAGTAAAAAAACTCATTTTTTTTCTTTTTGTTCCGTGATTAAATAATGCATTTAAGGTTTTTTTTAATTATTATTCAATAATCCTTCAGAATTTTTGACTACCTAAAAATCTCTCTTTGAAAAGAATCATACAGGTTGCAAGACATATCCTGTTTAATACTTCATTGCATAGGAAATAACATATAACGCCTAATAAAGTTTTACCACAGTTTTTGGCAGTAAACTTCACCATCACATGCTGCAGTTTCTTCCGTGCATTTTCTAAAACCATTTGAATAGTGCTTACTCTGAAGACTGCACCTCTCCAGCAGCACACTATTCACAAACACTACATTCCTAGCCATTTAACAAGCGACTTTCTTGGTGCAGCATACCACCATCTTGGAAATCGCTCATCCAGAAACCAGCTGGTTTACAAATTAGTAGACTTGTATTTAAAAACAAAATCTGGACACCAAAGTAAAAAGAGATTGATCCAATCTTTTTCTCTCAAAAATGATGATGCTGTAAAGAAGGCAAAGAGCAAAAATAGTGTCTTTAAACACCTCCCTAATTTCTTAGTCAGGGAAAAATTAAGGCCATTAGCCATTTTCTTTACTGAACATTGCCATGATTTATGGTAGTAGGCTTAGGTTGCAATGGCACTTCTCAGTAGTCATACCATCTGAAATAAAACTGCAACTCCGTTGCTGAAGTAATATAGGCCTTGAAACAGATAGTTGGACCCCTTGCTCTTTTTAATGCCACATGGTATCTGTGCCTCAGTTATCACAGTAATCTTAAAGGGGAGTTAGCACCATATATGGTCTTTCATTACCAAGTATCCGATTTAAAATAACTTCTTGCTATAATGTGTTTGTAGGTTCTCGTGTCTCCACACTAGTAATACGTCCAGTTTGTTGAAGGAAGGCATTATTTTGGTCACTCCATTCAGCACCTGCTAAAGTCTGTTGGTCTGAAGTTCCCTTCGGAGCAGCCAGTGGGTTTCTACTAATAACCAGTTCCAGTTTATTGCCAGATTCTGCTATAAGGGGCACAACGAGACAGCAGTCAAAGTCTCTGGTACGAACATGATTTACCTGAAAGGTTAAAGTTTGAATTTTAGTACTATTTTAGGGACAGGAAGGAAAGCAATATAACACATGAGCATATAAAAGAGAAATACAAGTATGTGAACCAAGAACATATTTTACACTATAGCTGGGATCAAGATCAGAATCTCATAAACACCACTTAATATTTACTGCTACATTATCTTCTCTGGGTGTGTCTACACGTTCATTAATGCACAGTACCTACTGAGTATCTGCAAAAGGAAGCACTAAATAAATTTACAATAAGCTGCCCTACTATGCATTTTCATGATCATGTGCTTGTTTCGTCCTGGTTAATGTGCGGTAGACTAATACTACTGCTCATTAGCCTAATAGCAAGGTGTTTTGCTATGATTCTGTAATGTGCACATTAGGCAGCTCGTGTAGACTATATTCTCCAATATGAATGCAACAGATTATATTTAACATTCCTGTTTAGTTACGCAGGTTTTCTGACAACAATTTCTAATGAACACAAAATATATTTGTACTAGCCAACTGCCTGCCAGGAATGATGGGGGGGAAGGAGGGGTGACAGGCAGGGACAGAGTGCTGCCACCGCCAACCAAGAGTGGCGGGGGAGGAAGCTTGCCCCACCATCCCCTTGCCAGCACCCTGCGCCACCACCACCACCTCCAGGAGGGGGGGGGGGGGCGGGGGGGGGGGGGGGGCAGTGAGGCCAGCAGTGCTGGCCTCAGCCCCCCACTCTGTCCCCTGCCATCATGGTGGCACTCCACTACGCTGCTGCCACATCCTGTCTGGAACACTCTTGGAGCACTGGTTGTTTCAGTAACCAATCAGAGTCCTCATATAGCATTATGGACAGACAGACTGACTAGACCCTTTATTATATTAGAAATGAAACCTGTTTATCTGATTTAGTGTGTTGCTTAAAAACTAAATGTTGGTGATAGTTCTATTTATGGCAGTTAGTAAGAGAAGGGAGTGCTTTGTATATTGGACAGAGATAGGGGACTAAGCTACATAGACCAAGACCAGAAACAAGGTTAAGATTTCATACCTCAAGAGCAAACAGGAAAAGGTTATATGTCTGGTTGGTCAAACTAAAGGATCTTCCTTGTTTAGAAAATCTAGTATATAAGTTGTTAGTCTAAAGTGTACTCATTTTTTCACCTGGATTCTATCTGAGTAATATAGGGTAACTACTACATTCATTTAACCCATTACATGTATTTAATTATTGGATTTGCATGCCACCCAAAAAAAGGTCCAGGGTAGCTTACAGGAAAAACAAAAAAACAAAAACAAAATAACTTATAAAAGTATGTAAAAGATTAAGAAACGTGTACAACAAAAACCCCCCAAACAATTCCCCAACTTAATCTGGCCAAATGAAAAGCACTTTCTGAAGAGGTCCCAGCTTGCGGTCTGGTGGGTCACAAAGGTGGAGGGGCGGAAGGGAGTTCCAGATTAAGAATGAGAGCTCCCATGCATTTTTCCAATGTGAATTTGGTACATAGATGGTATTTGCAGGAGTTTGCTGGCTGATGTTAGGGATTGAGGTGGGACATAAAGGACAAGGTAGGTACTTAAGGCCCAGACAGTTTAGAGCCTTAGATCAAAATCAGCACTTTCAATTGCACCTAGAAAGCTATTAGAAGCCAATGCAAACTCTGGAATACTGGATGCACTATATTGCACCAACACCTATATTTAATTTCTAAAAATATATATTTTTTCCCCTAATATGTGTCAGACTAAATGTGGGAAACAAGGTCATTCCAAATAAGTAACAATAAAATCTGCCAATATACTTTCATATATACATATATGTATGTATACCCTTCATATAATATTATATATATTTAAAGTAATTAATAATTACTTAACTAAAATGTAAGATGCCAATAGTTTTACCTGCAAAAGTCTATCATATGGTTTCAAACCACCCAGATCCCCAGGACCAGCTGGGCGAATATTTTTAACATAGACACCTTTCTCCAGTAAACCATCTGAGACACTGAATCCAAAGTCCTCTGCATCAGAGTCCTTAAACAAAGTTACCTGTAGAAATAATTTAGAAAAATAAGAAAGCAAATGTTTTTCCACATTTGTGCTCTGCTGCAAACAAAATGAGATTTTTTTGTTAATTCCAAACGAGTAATCATTTGCCTTTTACTTTGTATTGCTAATTTCATCCATAGCCTTTTCTTCAGTGTTTTTTTCAGTAATGGAATGTCCATTTTACTTTACTAATCATTGTTTTATTCCCATCTCGCTGTTTCTGAGACTTTTTTTTCCCTGTAAGTCCCTTTATTGTCTTGTTTTCCAGCTGTTTTAGTTCCATGGATTAGCTCTACCAGGCAGGTAGAAGCTGTTAGATTCCCAGCTCCTTTGAGATGTGGTACTTGGACTTAGGCAAAATAAATGCATATTTTGACTTGTTTTGATAGTTTTAGGCTGTATCAGCATAATTAGCTTTGAGAAATCCAGTGTGACTAAATAATGTAACAAGCTACAGTATCACCTGAGCTTACATTTTCAAGTTTCAGGATTCCAAATAGAAAAATCCTGTGTTGCAGAGCTCAAAACTGTCCAAAGCTGACCTGTATAATCGTCCTGTGGGGAACAGATTCATGACATTTATAGTTTGCAGGCCTCTTTTAAGTTCCAAAGTTGAGTCTGAGCACTATTAACAAGATTTGGGTTTTTAGGAACCCCCAGAGGAAAGCTGGATGTCAGGTAACACAAAATGAACTAACCTTTTAAACAAAATTGCATTAGGCTTCAATGCTGTATTGATTCTTCTGTAACTTCCACAGCAGTAACTACTACTGACCAAGCTAGTAATAGCACTGGCAAGCTCCATCCAGCCTGAGTCTTAGTTACATAAGCTCTAATGTCAGGAGAGCTAAAGGAGTATGTGTCTACAGGAAAATACAACTGCAAGATTGCATCAGAAAAAAATTATGGAAAGGCCTATGTTGCCTTTGAAATGGGGGATGAGGAACTACTGTCCAAAAGGAGAAAACAAAAGCTGGTACAATTAAACATTTTAGGGAGAAGGACATTCCCTGAGGAAACACCAGGGGTATTCTGAGGATGGTCCTTTTTATCTTGCATTGTGTTCCTGATTGTTCTGGTTAAAAAGGATTCCAGAAGACTTTCTGAAAGGCTTTTCTTGTCCAGACAGGGTGTCATCTTTTCAAGCCATGTCCACCCTACAGATGCCTGGCAAAGATATGTAGGTTAGAGGTGTGAAGAGACATGATCCTTGAATGACACAGTTGTGCCCAGACAGTCATTCAATCAAAACTGCACTTGCCCTGGTATAGGATGTTTCATGCTGCTACAGGGCAGGCAAAGTTCAGGGAGACCTTTGATGATAACCCTATTTATGTATTGCTCCTGGTCCAGGTGTGGCTGCAGGCTAATCTAGGTGAAGCCCTGACACTTGGCCATAAGCTAAGTTCCTGTGTAGCTACAAGTCACCTGGCTTTGATCTAGCTGGCTAGCGTAGGTTCAAATGCATTAGCTTGCATCTTAGTGGGGTGTATTAACCTAACCCAGCCCAACAGAGATTTCATGATTGAAACGCATCCTTATTTACCCATGAAGACAGAGACTTGAAGACAATCAATACTGTCCCTTACTGTACCGCAACCCCTCCTTTCTTTTCCTCCCTGTTCCCCTCTGTGGTGTTGCAGTGCAGTACACTATTACGAGGCCAGCCCAAAATCCTATCAACTTTTAAGATTAAAGTATTTCTCTTGTACAGGGAAGCATACTCTTCTGTCCTTCATTCTTTGTAAGACCTCTGATATTAAACTTTCTGAGGAATGGTATATTAAAAAACCCACAAATCATTTCTATTGTTACTTATCACACCTCAAATTTAATGGATTCCAGGAGGTGGAACAGCATTTCAGCTACTGTAAACTTACCTTGTGATTAAGAATAATGAACCTTAGAAAGATTGTTAGGTTATACTGACAGTTGATAGATGAGCAGGAGTCCAGAAAACTCCTCCAGAAATCTGTTATTGATGGAGACTTTAGTCTGTGATATGGCAGCATGTCTAAGATTGTTTTGATCTCAAGTATATTTTCAAGCTGCTAGGAGACATCCATAAGGCTAACATTTTAACAAGGCCAGAAAATAAAAGGAGAAAATAAATTTTGCTGACAGATTTGTGTGTACGGTTTCTGACAAGAAGAAAATAATTAGCACTGGGCCAAGGCACAGGTTCTCCTTTGTTGAGATCACTGTTTTCCATGCCAGTACAAAGGGGTTTCATGTGAACCGCCTGTTTTAAGAAGACTGGACACAAATGCAAGGTAAAAAAATATATGCAGGGTCATAGAGCAGATGAGAATCAAAATGCCCTTTAGAATTGTTGGGCCCCAGCTCAAGTCTGGGATCGTGCCCGGTATGCAAAAGCCAATAAAGATACCAGGGGTGAAAGTATAAAGAAGATTTATTGCTAGCAATACAAGGTGCAAGCGGAATAATTTCACGTAACAAGCACACAGATTCTTAAGCATCTTTTATACAGGAGTATTGGACCTTCATAAGCATTCTTGTTTGCTAATTGGTTATAAGGGAGTGACGCAAGGAGTTCTTTACTGAGCATGTCTCTATACCTGTGTTTTAGCTATGTATCTCATTTACATACATGTATGTTTCATTAGCATACCTTCTCCCCACCTAGGGGTGTGATTTTTAGTATTTAAATTAGCTCTTTGCCCTAGTCCTCTGATTCTGCTTTTGTTTTCAAGCCTCCTTTATCTAAGACTGTCTCCTCCTTATCATTGCAGATGGGCATTAGTTACATAACAGACTTTTGCTTGGGCTTTGTATAGTGGTTTCTAGGTCAAACCCGACAGTGTTTGTGAACAGATGGAAAACTATTTAAAAGAAGGTTTTCTCTCTCTTTCACCCACTATAGTGAAGTGGAACTAGATTCAATCTTAGAGGAAATGTGAGGGGTAACTTCATTGCATGACAAGGTGGGAATTAGCAAAGATGATGCGTACAATCCTACTCTGTAGACCTGTGGGACTTGCCACACTAGCAAAAACCAGAAGTCCAGTTAGTCTAATACCTTGTCTTTGACCGGAACCAGCACCAGCTAGTTCAGGGGAAAGTGACAATTTTTGACACTTATGGGGAAAAAGCTTCTCTAAAGGCCAAGCTTTCTACAAACTTTGCATGAAGGCTTCTGTTGCTTATATAATGCTTTAACTAGTATGACTAATTGTGACTGCTGACAATAGCCCAGTTTTTGGTTGTAGCTGTGTTGGTCTAAGGACATAGGCAGGCAAGGTTGTTTGGTTAGATGTGATATCTTTTATTAGACCAACTACGTAGCTGGAAAAAAGTTCTTAGCAAACTTTCAGACTAGCAGAGACTCCCTATGCCTAACGAAGGGTGACTGCGCCCGAAAGCTTGCTAAGAACTTTTTCCCAACTACTCAGTTGGTCTAAAAGATATCACATCAAACAAAAGAACCATGCCTGACAATAGCCCATGATTTTCATTGCATTAATAGGGCATCCTCTGTAAAGATGTGTATAGCCAAGGAACAGGAAGACTTAACCTTCCCTGTAATAGAAAACGACTTGTTTTTTTGGTAAGTTTTGATCCAAGAGACCATTTTAAGGGCTGATTGATTGCTTGTGTCTAAATGCCAAGTAACAAAATAAGTTGCTTAACACAAAGACACCAGATAGGACAACTGAACCTAGGAGTGCCAGCAGAATTATACTGTAGGATAGTGGTAGGACCAGTTGAACTGGGTTGAATACAGACCTAGCTTCTGCATGAGTTATTGTTTCAGTTGGTGTAGTTATAGGTTCCTCTTTCCCAGCTCAGTAGAACATTTCAAGCACATTTGTTAAACTCTGTAAAGGCAACAGGATTTCAGAATGTGTTTTTTGCTACTCAGGGACTATTTGCTAAACTTAGGTTATAATTTTGAATTTTATAAATTCTTACCAAAAGGGATCATTAGAGCATCATTAATCTGACCTGTACCACTCAGGCCAGAGAATTTTACCCAATTACACCTGTATTGAGCCCAAAATAATTTGTGTTTGGCTAAAGTATATTTCCAGGCTTCATCTGAAGACATAAAGAGATGGCAAATCCATCAATTCCCTGGTGGTTTGTTTTAATGGCTATCACATTTAGCATTAAATGAGTATATCGTATTTCTATCCTGAATATGTCTTAAATTTCCAGCCACTGATTCCTGATACACCATTCTGTGCCCAGCATCTCTCACAAAGCAGATGCATGGGCAGTTCTAGAGACAATTCAAGTCCACAGCATCACCTCTGCCAGCCATGCCCCTTTGCCAACTTTCCACCAGAAGTTCTACTCCTGTGGCAGTCATCAGTAGCAGTTGCTTTACTCCCAACCCTCTTCTTTTCCAGCTTTCCTTTTAGTTTGCTTTTTAGACAGCAGCAATTACATACTACTCTTTCTTCTTGCCTGGATCAAGTATTTGGCAGCATGATGGTTTCACCCAGTCAAATCTGTTGCAGCAGTACCTTCCCAGCCTTGTCTTCTGACCCCCATAGGCTATGTGAGGGCAGCCTTTACAGGTCCTTCAGGGGGTGAATTATGCTTACAGTCAGTCACAGTTATCTCATACTCCATGGGCTGAGATTTACAGTTGGACACTGAGAAGCTGCAATTCCAGCTCAGAAAAATCCAACCAGGAGCCTCTGAGCATTTTGAAGAGAATTGAAATGTTCACCATCTGGCCAGTTTCAGGTATGAGACCTGGCAACCAGAGGAGAAAAATAATGAAGAGATCCCAAAGACTTCCCCGCCCCACGCATATGAAGTGTGTCTTCAGCTCTTTGGAGAAAGGACTAAGATTTCTATACAGTTTTCCTTCCATTATGGGGGATTCTTGTGGTAAGACCCCCTTCACGTCAAGCAATAAAATTAGAATTCAGAATGGGAAGACACAAGGGGAAGCAAATGTAAAGGACTCAAGTCTCTCCATTAAAGGGCTAAGAGACCCTTCAGGGGTCATAGCCATGAAGGGACTC